GGCGCCTTCAGCAGGCCCTGCCCTCCGCGCCCACAGGTCGCAGGCAGGGAAACTGAGGCCGAGACGTGCGGCAGGAGGGGCCCTGTGCCCCAAGGGGACAAGGCCAGCGGCCGGCCCCCAGCGCCGTCCCCGCCACCGTTGGCCCCGCGTCTGAGGCCCCGGATTCTCCTTGTTAACTGGCCAGGGGCGCGGGCCACGGGGTATTATGGGGAAACAATCCCATCTCTATGTGGGTTCAGACCCGACCCGTTTTGCCACTTTCCCCGTGATCGCAGAACCCGTCGGGCGGCTTTGGGCCGACTCTGCCTCCCGTCCGCTCCCGGCAGGGGGGGCCCAGAACCTGCCGAGCGGGTTTGGCCAAAAGCGTGTCCTGCTGCCTGTGCAAGTTCGCACACTGCTCCCCGCCATCGCCCAGGTGGGTGCTCCGCTCGGCGGCCGGTGGCCGGGCCTGCGGAGGTCGGCGCGGGCGAGGGGCCATGTGAGTGCGAGGGGGCCCGGGGCCCGCATCTCCAGCTTCGGCGGCGAGGCAGGGGCCGGGTCGCCTGGCGATGCTTGAGCCCCCGCTGCGGCTCGGCCGGGCAGGGGGCGGGCAGGAGGCGGGCTGCGAGGGGCGCGGCGGCCTGCCCCTGGGCCAGGGCGCTGAGTGGGGGAGGGGCTGGCTTCCCGGGCAGGGGGCGGGGTGCGGAGGCACGGCTGGGGTGCGGTCCAGGGCTCCAGGAAGGGGCCGGCCGGGCCCTCCATCCCGGGCCTGCCCACAGCCGGGTCCTCAGGGGGCAGCGGGGCAGGCCCGGGGGCGGGGGTGCCGGGCACGGCAGGTGGGGCTGCTCTCGGCGGGGCGTCCCTGGGGAGCGGTGACAAACAGCTCCGGGGGACGGGGTCCTACTCGGCCTCCCCCCGCCAGGCCTCTGCGAGGCGGCCCATCCTGTGGACGTCGGCTCGCAAGGCCCGCCGGCACCGGAGCCGCAAAGCGGCCTCAGCCCGCGCAGGGGACACCGGTCCTGCTCCTCCGTGCATGTGCCGGTGCACGTGGGAGGCACAGCGCGTGCAGGGGGGAGCGGCTGAGGGAGGCACAGGAGCACGGGGCGCTTGTGTGTCAGGGTGCGTGCTGACATGTGTTAGCGTGTTGTTAGGACCCTGCTCGTCCGTGGGCGTGGGCGTGGGCATGGGCATCGCCGCCGTGCACGTGGGTCGTGGGTCTGTGTGCCTGGCGGGTGTTAGAAAGCCCCCGGTGGCGACACGCCTCCGAACGCGGCCTGGCTCCCAGAGCCGGCCCGGGAGGCCGCTCGGAGCCCCCACCTCTGCCCTGGCTGTGCCCCTGGTACGGCGGCGGCTCCCGGAGCCCCGGTTTCCTCATCGACAAGAAGCGCTGCCACGGCCCCGCCATGGGCGCACGCACGCGGCCCGGGCGGTGGCTGCCTGGGGGGCGCCTGTCCGGTGCCTGGCCCGCGGGGGCCCCTGGCCGGCCCCATCCGCCCGCCCGCCCGCCAGCCCGAGGTGGGTGGGAGCCGGGGGCCGGGCCCCCGCCTATCTGCTCGGTGGGCCGGGGCACGGAGGTTTGGCCCGCGAGCAGCGCCCCCGCCGCGGGGGAACCCGCAGACGCTGGGGCCTCGTGTCCTCCGGGGGCCCCCGGACCTGGGCCTGTGGCCCCCAGCAGGTGCTTGGGGACTCAGGCCGCGCACATTCGGTGGCCTGGCCCCCTGTAGGCCTGGCGCAGTGTCCTCCCGCACAGGGTCTTTGTGGCAACGGGACCTGAACTGGCCCCAGAGAGGGGGGCCCCTGCAAACAGAACCGCGAGTCCCTGGGGCTGCCGCCACGGGGAGGCGCTAGTGGGGGACCGCAGGTGGGGCACGCGGGGTCTCCGTCTGCAGCGACCCGAGCCCTCGGCCCGCCAGACACCGGGCAGAGAGTGTCTTACCCGGACAGGTGTCACCCGGACAGGGGTGCCGGGAAAGGAGCCTCACGACACCGTGCCGTGGGGCAGCACTGCCCCCCGGTGAGGAAACGGAGGCTCTGCGAGGTAAAACCACTTGCCCGAGGGGCGCAGAGGGTGCAGGCAGGATGGCAGGCCCCCCGGGGCTACCGGCGGCGGTGGCTCGCGTCCCCGGGCCCGGCGCTCTGCACAGGCGGGCCCTGCTCAGGGAGAGTGGCGGGTGGGCGGGGGCGGCAGCGCGGCCGCCCCACCTGCCCCAGGGGCACGGTGGGGGTGGGGGCTGGGAGCCCCCGGGCCTGTCTGGGGCCCCGAGGAGCAGAACACGGGTCCTGGCTTCCCGCCCCAGATGGCGACTCGGGCCACCCCCGTGGGAGCGGAGCAGGGCCCCCGGGGGCGGAGCCCCCCCCCCGCCGCCTCCGAGTCCCCAGAAGCCGCCCGCCTCAGCCGTCTGGGGCGCGCGGGGCGAACACGGAGCCGGCGGACCCAGCAGGAGGCTCCCGCCCGGGGTTGCTCTGCCCACAGCCGCCGCCTGCTCCCCAAGGCAACAGGCCTGCCGCCGCCTCCACCCCTCCCAGCCCCCCAGGACGGTGGACGGGTCAGGGGAGTGCCCCGGGGCCCTGTCCCGTCGGCCTCCGCCAAATCTGTTTGAGTCCCCTGCTCTCCTGGGAACGTCGCCCTGTCCCTACGGCCCTGGGCTTCCTCGGGCAAAGGAATGAAGGTCCCCAGCTCCGCTGACAGCCGGCCACACAGCCCTGCCCAGCCTTCAGGCGGGTGTCCCCTGCCGTCCCCCGCGGACCCCCGAGAGGAGCAGCGGGAGGGCCGGCCGGGCGACTTGGGACACGAGGAGAAGCAGAGGACGCTCCTGGGCCGCGGCGCCACAGGCCCCCTCAGGCGCGTCCTTTACAGGAGGCCGCCCCGCCCACGGGCCGCGCGAGCGCTGGAGGGGAGAGCCGCCTGCCGGGCGGGTCTGGGTGGAATTTCTGGCGCGGCAGCTCAGCCTGTCCCGGGCCCTCCTCACCCGCCTGCTGGGGTCCTGAGCCCTGGGAGGCCGCCGTCCGGAGGCTTCCCGCCCAGGAGCCCCCCACGGGACAGCGTCAGCATGGTCAGCACAGCAGGGCCCCTTGCAGGGCGCACGCGCACACCCCCCAGGGCCCTCGGCGAAGGGCCAACGCGGGCCCCCCCGCCCCGGGCGGCCGGGGAGGATGGCGGGAGGTCCCTGGGCCTCCGCTTCCCCATCTAGAGGCTGGACCCCCGACCAGTGTGGCAGGGTGAGGCAGACTGCCGCCCTAGCGACGGTGTGCACAGCGCTCAGCAAACAGCCGCGTCGCCGTTGATGCCCCGTGCGCCGAGCCCGCCTACCCCGGCCTCCGGGCCGGCGTCTCCTCTCCCCCGTCCCCAGAGCCCCACCGCCGGGCCCAGAGCCAGCATGCGGGCACCTCACTTCCCCGCCTGTGCCCGGGGTGCCCACAGCCCGGGCGGGTCTGACAAACGAGTTTGGGGAGCCCCATCTTCCTGTCCCTCCACCCCCCACCACACCCCAGCCCTGCCCGGGCGGCTCTGGGGACACCGCAGGGCACGGGGCCTCGCCCGCCTGGTCCTGCAGCCGGGCCAGGCTCGCATCCGGAGGGCCAGGCTTCCTGGCGCTCTGACACTGGACCCGGGTTCGAGGGCCCAGCCGGGAAACGGGCCATGCGCCGGGTTTCCTGGCGGGCAGACCCAGCCCTGTGCTCGCTGCCCTGGCGTTGCTTGAGGTCCCAGGGCCGGCTCCCCTCAGGCAGAGCGGCCCCCAGCCCGCCCCAGGGCACCTGCCACCCCTCCCTGGGGACGGTCGTCGCTCTGTCCATGGGTGTCCGGCTGCCAGCATTGGGCGTCTCCACTTGGGACCATCGTTAGGCCGCCGGGGCCTCTGCACACCTTCAGGGCCCCCTTGTCCGCTGCGGGGGCCACAGCCACCTGCGATGGGCGATGGGCAGAGGGAGGGTCCGAGCGGAGGTTTAAGGGCCTGCGCCTCGCTGTGCGAGTGCGTCCCGGGGGGCGGGCGGAGGCAGGGAGCCGGACATGGGCACAGGCGATGGGCCACAGGCCCGAGGTGGCCTTCCCGGGAGGTCTGGGCCCGGTGGGCGTGGCAGAGGACGGGGAGGGGAGACTCCGGGCAAAAATAGAAGTCTGGCCAACAGCTGCGGAGGGGTCAGCATGGGCGGCGGGGGAGGGTGTGAGAGTTTCAGGAAGCAGGCAGCCGGTTTGCGGGTCCGTCGGCCAGCAGGCTCCTCGGGCGGCGCCCAGGCCTGGGGGCGGGACCCGGAAGGGGAGAGGGTGGGCTCTGGCGTGCTCTGCTCTCTGTGGGACTCGGGGCACCAGGCCACGGGCAGGCGGCGGCGGGGGCTGGGCTCCGCCCCAGTCACGGCCGAGCCAGGGTCAAAAGAAGCACGAGGACCCCTCAGAGCCAAGGTGGGCATGGGCACCCGGGACGCCCACACGACACACGCTCACACGACACACACACAAAGGACACAGCGCCACCAGACGGGTGCCCAGAGCCCGGACCGAGGTCTGAGCGTGGGAGGCCCAGGCGCCCCAGCAGCGCCGCGGCCCCTCACAGAAGGAACTGGAAGAGGAACTTCCCCAGAAGGCCTCTGCGTGTTGCAACCGGCAGACAGGCTCACGCAGCATGTCACGGGCGCCCTGGGCCCGGCCAAGGCTTCCACCCCGCGGCCCAGCCCCCCGGCCCGGCGCCAGGCTGCAGCCATGGGGGGCGGGGGCAGGGCCCTGCCTTCGGTGGGGCCGGAGCGGGCCCCACACCTCCTGTCACCCCCAAGGCCGCCACAGGACAGGTGCCGAGAGCAGGACAGTGCAGACGAGGCCACTGGGTCCTCAGGGTGGACGTGACCCGCGGGGGCCTCACAGGACAGGAGCCCCCACCCACACCCACGGGGCCAGCGCTCAGCTCCTCACGGGGGGCGGCCTTTGACTGGACCCTGCAGCCCACAGACCCCTCCCACGCCAACACGCCCCCTCCCCCCACTTCTTGCCCCACAGGCTGGGAGCCGCGGGGCAGTAGGGCCACGGGGCCATGGACAGCTTCGTGGAGTCCCTCAACAGGCTGAAGGCCGTCCATGAGCAGGAGGTGCTGGGTGAGTGCGGGGGGCGGGCAGGCGGCGGGGGGCAGGGTCTCCACAGGCGGCTCCCCCGGACGGAGGGTCTGAGGGCTAGGGAGCCCCCACGTGGCGTCCCCAAACCTAGGCCCTCCCCTTCCAGGCCCGGGAGGCGGCGCTGACCCAGAGCCCTGAGCATCAACGTGCCCAGGCGCCCAGCCTCAGACCGGCACCCCAAGTGTGGCCCTGCAGGCGGCTCCCAAAGGGCCAGCTGGGCCCGGCCGCAGAGGGCCAGAGCCTCCCCGCCCCCAGGCAGGGCCTCAGCGCCCCCAGGAGAGAGGCCACCCGCCTCTGGGAGGCTGCTCGCGGGTCCGCAGGCCCGTCCAGAGGGCTCTGGGGTGCGGGCAGGGAGTCCGCTCTCTCCCTCCAGGACCCCCAGGCTGAGCTCTGCCCCACCCCAGCACACACACGCTCCCCACGCTCCAGGGCCCCGGCCAGACCCCCGAGACCGACCGTTCCACGAGCACCCCGCACACGCCGGAGGGCCCGAGGGCCCGGGGCACCTCCCCGGAGACCCGGGGCGGGGGGTCTGCTTGGCTAAAGAGCCCAGGCCGCAGCACAGGGAGGCGGCAAGGAGGGGTCGGCCGCCGTCTCCCTGAAGACCCCATTTTATTTCAGTACTAGCTGCACCCACAAAAAACGCTCCTCCCAGCACTTGGCCCGGTGGTGGTTACTCCCAGCTTCGAGGTCGTGCCCCACCTCCAGGCAGACCCCAGGGCCAGAGGCCCCGGGGGGCAGGGGGGAGGCGCTGGGCCCAGGCCGCGGCCCTGAGCAGTCCCGGGGCTGGGCACCCACCCCTTGGGGTGGCCTTGGGGAGGCGCGGGGAGACCCGGGTGAGGCGTGGGGAGGGGCGGGAGGCACCTGGGGCTCTCTGCTGCAGAGGTGGCCACACACTGGGCCTGACCCGCTGCCTTCCCTCGGCCCCCAGGCCTGCAGAACAAGCTTCTGGAGCTGAACGCAGAGCGATGCCGGTGAGTCCGGGGCCCGGGCCAGCGGGGCGTGCGCGGGGACACGTCTGGCCAGCCCATCCCTTCATGCCCCTGTACGCTAGGGTGCCACCCCCTCGCGTGTGCACGTGGAAACGGGCTCCGTGGGGGGGGGGCCGGGGGTGGAGCCAGAAACTGGGAACTCCAAGGCCACCACCTGAACGGGGACCCCCCCACGGGGCGCCCCTTAGGGCGCCCGAGATGTCCGTGATTATCAATAGGAACCAAAGTCACGAGGCAGCGAGGCCTGAGGGGGGCTCCCGTGTCCCCAGTGGGGGCTCAGGTCGGTAGTACTGCGTGCGACACTTGGACAAGACAGAGGTCGCCCTGGCGGCCTGCAGCGCTGGCGCGGGGCCAAGCGGGGCCCCCCGTGGGCACGTCCTGCGGGACCCAGCCCAGGGCCCCGGGAGAGGCTGGCAGGGGCAGCGCAGGGCCCTGGGCAGTGCAGCAACCCCACTCGGTTGCCCCCAGGGACGCGCAGCGGGTGGAGGAGCTATGCGCCAAGAACCAGCAGCTCCGGGAGCAGCAGAAGGTCCTGAAGGACAACGTGCGGGCGCTGGAGAACAGGCGAGCCTGGGGCGGGGGCTGGGGAGCAGGCGAGCCTGGGGCAGGGCGGGCGTCCCTGCGGCCACACTGGGCGGGGGGCGGGGGGCGGGCAGAGGGAGCTGGCGAGGAGCCCACGGGGAACAAGTTTGGGAAGCTCTGGGGGTAAATAGGCGGAACCAGGCAGCGCCCCGCCCCCAGAGCCTTAAGTAAACTGCAGGGTCGCAGCTGCTTCCTATACCCCCGGGGGCGGGGGCAGGGGCATGTCCGCACACCCGCCCCCCTGCCCCTGTCCCCGCTCAGAGCGGCCTCGGCCTCCCTCGCCCGCAGGCTGCGAGCCGGCCTGTGCGACCGCTGCTCGGTCACCCAGGAGCTGGCCAGGAAGAAGCAGCGGGAGCTCGAGGGCTCCCTCCTGCACAGCCTGCAGCAGGTCTTCGTCCTCGGTGAGTGCGCCTGCCTGGCCCCCGCCCAGGGCCGACCTCCCCGCCAGGGCCTGCCCCGCCTGACTCGGGGTCACCGGGAAAGGGGAGAAGGCGGCCCTTCGGTCAGCAGGGGTGGGGCGCCCTGCACCCCAATTTACAGATAAATGACCCAAGGTCCCCAGCTGGCCCGGCTCCTCCCTCATTCATCAGCCCCCTCGGCTGGGGCGTCCCCGCCCTCGAAGGGCGTCAACACTGCCCCGCTGACAGGAGCCGGACAGGCACCCCTTTTCCTGGGGGGGACGTCCCAGGGAGAGGCTCCTGCAAGGAGGGTCCCCATGGCTTTCCACAGCCCTGAGGCCGGCGCCACCCACGCCTCGCAGGCAGCCAACCCCTCAGGCAGGAGCCTCACGGGGCACCTGCTGAGGCCTGGCCCCGGAGGCGCGGTGAGGGCCCCTCCCCGCCCCCCCCCCCGGCCTCACTACCTGTGTCTTTCGCAGCCAATGAGATGAACCGGCTGCAGGAGGAGAATGAGACCCTGAAGGAAGAGGTGACCCGGCTTCGGGGCCTGGGGTGAGTGGGGAAGGCGCGGGGGCCTGAATCCCCGACCCCTCGTACCCCGCTCACAGCGGGCACCCAGCACACGTCTGTGGGGCGCAGGACCCGTGGGGGACCGGCCGAGCACTGGGGTGGGGGTCCCATGGGCCGTTCGCCATGGAGCCACCTCCCGACGTCGGAATGACAGGGGTCCTCTGAGTGGCCGGAGCCCAGGGGTCCCCTAGAAACAGGGCTGGGACCCCGCCCCCACACCTGGGGCTCCCCCAGCCGGGACGCGGTGTCTGAGCTGAGCAGGGAGGACCGCTCGGCCGGCAGCGGGAGCCTGGTGGCACAGTCCCGGGCAGTGTCAAGGGAGCTCTTTCTGGGTCCCCTGGTCCCCCCAGAGTGGCGGCCAGGCACCCTGGCCTTCCTGATCGTCTCTGGGGGCACTGCCCTCACCCTCCCCTCGGGACACAGGCCCAAGCCCCCGTGCAGGGAAGGGGCCCCGGACCCCAGCTCCCCGCCGCCACGCACCTCCCCCGGCGCCCGCAAGGCCACCACCGAGAAGCTGCCGGGAGGCCACGAGGAGGCTGAGGATCTTGCCCCAGGTGCGGGCCCAGGGGGGCTGGGGACAGCTCAGGACCGAGGGGCTGAGCGGCTGAGGGGCCGAGGGGCCAAGGGGTAGGGGCGGAGCCACCTCCCAACCTGGCTTGTCAGTCACTGCTCTTCCTCCCGTAGAAAAGCCCGGCTACCGCGCGTCTCCAGCGGCCAAAGCCTCCCCGAGTGCCAGCCCACCCGAGCCGCGGGCCCCAGACATGGTGAGGGCCGGGACTGCTAGCTCCAGCTGATGGGGGCGGGGGCGAGGCGCAGGGTGGGCGGGCGGCCTGCCCACAGGCCCACGCAGAGCCAGGGCAGAGGGCCGCAGCCCGGCCGCTCGAGCTGACCACCGCCCCCCACCCCGTCCGGGCAGAGCCCCCAGAGGATCTCCAACCAGCTGCACGGGACCATCGCTGTGGTGCGGCCAGGGGCCCGGGCCTGCCTCGCCGACCGGGGCGCCACCAACGGGACACCCCCTGCCCGCAGCGGCCCCCCCAGCCCGCCCCACGAGCACGGCCTCCCGCTGGACAGGTGCGGTGCTGCCCGCGGCCCCCACGGGGAGCAGCCCCAGCAGAGCCCGGTCTCCCGCCGGGCCCCATTGGGGGAGGGGCTCTGCCCTTCCAAGGCCTGCTTTTCTGGGCCCCGCCCGCCACAGAGTCCCCGCAGGGACACCCCCTGGGAGAGCCAGGGAGCGATGTCCAGAAGAGCAGGGAGAGGCCTCGGGGCGTCCCTTGGCCGCCAGAGCAGGGGGAGGGGCCAGGAACCCACCACCCCGCTACCAGCCCTGTAGCCTGGGGCTCCCCTCCCCTCCCTGGGCCCCGGGGCCTCACCGGTGAGTGGGGCTGACCAGGCCCTGCCCTCGGGCTCCCTCCTCCCCGCTAGCTTCCTGCGGGCTGCCCGGTCCCCCTCGCTGGCCTACGAGTCTCTGAAGCGCTCCCTCCAGGCCGACCGCCTCTCGCTCCTGAACCGCCCCCTGCCTCTGCACCTGCAGGGCCCCCACAGCAGCCCCCAGGGCCCCGCCGCCGCCCCTGGCGGCCCCCCACCCCAGGGCCTGAGGGCCGGAGAGGCCGAGGCCTGGGAGGAGCCCCCAGGCCTGCCAGGGGCCCTGGGGGACGTGCGGGACCCCCGGCTGGAGGGGGCGCTGAACCTGCTGCTGGCTCAGCAGCTGCGGGCGCGGGCGCAGGCCGACGGCGCCAGGCTGAGGGGCCCCCGCAGGCCAGGGGAGACCCTGCCCTCCCCTCCCGTCGGCTCGGACTCTGAGGGGCCAGAGGGCGAGGTGGCCGGGGCAGCCCTGCCCGGGAGGCGGCCCACAGGCCCCGGCAGCCCCAGGGCGAAGGCGGCCAGGACCACGCAGGACCACGCTCCGGACAAGCCCCTGGACCTCTCGGAGCGGGGCCGGGGCCGGGATGCCCCCAAGTGCACGGGCCGGCCAGGCTCCCTCAGCCCCCGAACCGCCCACACTCCCAGTCCTGAGCCACCCCAGGGGGCAGAGCCCCCTGCCCAGTCCGGACCTTGGGGACGCAGCGATGGCACCGAGGGGACCGGTGCGCCAGAGCCGGAGGAGCCCCGTACTCCAGAGGTGAGGCCCCGGGCGGGCGGCGGTTCCGGGAGGACGCCGGGCAGCCTGGCCCTGCTCACAGGGTGTGGCTGACCCTCTGGCTGCAGCCCGGCCCGGGTGCCCCAGGCTGTGCCCAAGTCAGCTCGGAGGAGCTCAAGCCACTCGCTTGCTTCCCCCCAGGAGCCCCCACGTCCTCTCCCAGGGCCCCAGCCCAGCCCCCCGTCTCCGGGTGGGATGGGAGACGGGTCCAGAGAGAGGCCAAACGCGTCCCCCCACCCGCAGAGGCCTGACGCCAAGGGCCACCCAGGTAAGGCTGAATACCAGGGTCAGGAGAGCCCAGCAGGTGCGGCCGCACGTGGGGAGGGGGTGCGGCGGTCAGCATCAGCTGGGGCATCTGCCCGAGGGTCCAGCTCAGCCCCCTGGGCCTGATGGGCCAGACCCTGGGCGCCCCACGTGCTGAGCCAGAAAGGGGCTGGGGGGTCGTGCCTCCGAGCACAGGCCCTGAAGGGCAGGGCGTCCCAGCAGCTAGGGCCTGGGGGCAGGAGGTGGGCTCCCCATGACACAGGGCACGGCCCCGGTGGGGGGCGTGGCACGGGCGCTGGGGCCTGGGGTCGGCCCTCGGGCGGGCGGTTCAGCCCCCCGTGCCTCAGTTCCCTCGCCGGCAGAGAGGTTGCCACTCACCCATCCCAGTCTGGCAGGCCAGGGAGAACCTGCTCCCCCCGGACCCTCGGGCCACCCGCCTGGCCTGACCCCTACCCTGCGCCCTGCAGAGCTCAGCAAGCCCGACGGGCAGTGGCAGGCGTCAGACCAGCCGGACGAGCCGGACGCCTCGGACAATGAGGTGGGTCCCAGGCTCAGGCAGGCTCCTCCCCGCCGCCCCCTGCTCATACGGGGCTGCCCCAGGCTGCGGGGAGAGTCCTAGTCCTGACCACAGCCCCACGCCCCCCAGGGCGGCCTGAGCCCCAAGGAGGCCACGCCAAGTGCACCGGGGGAGGGGCTCAGGTGCTCCTGCACCTCGGAGCCAGGGCAGGGCCCCCCCCAGAAGAGGAAGCGGGCCCCGTCCTCTGACCAGTGGAACAAAGGTATGTGGCCAGGGACAGGGTCAGAGGTCAGGAGGACGGGGAGTCACCACAGCCCCAACCCTCCAACCCCGCCTTTCTGGGCACGTAGGGGATGGTCTCCTCAAACTGACTGGATCCCCGAAACCCGCCCTGGAAGCTCTCCCTGATCAGGCCCCTTAAGAGGAGGGACAGGGCAGGGCTGGGGTGATCCCAGATGCACTTCCTCCTCACTGACAGCCCCGCCAGCCCTCCAACCCGGGGGACTGGGGGCTCTGGGACCCCCCCGGGCCACCTTGGAGGAACCTGGGGCGCGTTCCCTCGGGGGGGGCGTTGGGGGCCGCGGGAACGCTTGCCGAAGGCGGCACCCGTAGGCCCAGCCCCTCCCCCCAGGGCAGCGGGAGCCCGAGGGCATCAGGACGGCCCTCACTTCCTGCTCCGGCCACAGAGGCGGCTCTGGCCAGGCCTCCAGGCGCCCGAGAGAGCCTCTAGATGCCTGAGCTAACGATGGAAGCCGCCCAGCTGTTTGTCCAGGCAGGTCTGCTCTGGGGCAGGTCGGCCCAGCCCGCACAATGCACCATTGTTGCCGGGCAGGTGACTGCGGCCTGTGTGTGCCGGGCCGCGGTGGAGAGGGCCACACGCCTGTCTGATTTCCAGGCACTTCCTGCTGGGCACCCTTGGGAAGCCGTCCCGGCGGGCGCGGCCCACGGGGCGCACGGGTGTCCGCCCCACCCTGCCCTCTGAGCCACCGCACCCCCGGGCCAGCACTGGGGCTCCCCAGCAGGCGCCGGCACCCCGGCGCCCTCGCTGGTGGTCGGGGAGAGTCAGGCCCCGGCCCAGCTTGTGGCCGCCTCCGCTGCACGCCAGGCAGGGTGCTGCATGGCACGGCGCGGCCGGCACACTCGTAGCTTCTGCCCACGGAGAGGCGCCGGCAGCATCCAGCCTTGTTGCCTCTGGGCCTGCCCCTGTCCTGGAGGTGGGGAAAGTGAGGCACAGGGAGGTGTGGAACTTGCCCAAGGTCACAAAGCGGGTACCTGGGGTCAGGATCCCAGCCTGCTTCTGACCCAGGTCCAAGTCTTGTTCCGCTTCAGAGACGCGCCTGGGGCCCGGCACCCGCGGGTGTCCCCAGCCCTGCGGCAGGCCCCTGGAGGCGCCCGGCCAGCGTCCCGGGGATCCCGAGAGCGTCTGCCCGTCAGCTCCGGGCGTCCCACACGTGCCCGGCCCTCTGGGAGGCAGCGAGGGAGGCACCGGGGACCTGGCCAGCTCCAGGGTCGTGCACCTGGGCAGAGGGTCCGCTCTGCCCCCGGTTCCCAGGGCTCGCCGTCCAGTCGAGCCCCAGGGCTCCTAGGTCTGTTGCTGTCGTGACAAGTCACCTCTGCCAGTGAGGGCTGTCCAGTGCCCACGTCCAGAGACTGCCCCCAAGGCCCCGGGGAGAGTCCAGTGTCATTTCAAGGGAGGACGTGCTGGGCCACCACTGTGTGTCCCCGCCTAACCCCAGTCCACCTCCCTCAGCCTCCAAGAAGCTGTCCTGAGAAGGAGCCCCAGGGGAGCCCTGGGAGCCCAGGGCAACCGCGTGGCCCAGGAGCCTGAGACCCTGAGGACGGCAGCCCCTCATCCCGCAGCAGCCGCCGGCGGAGGCCTATAGCACCGTGCACGGACGCCTGACTACCCGCGGCCGGGACGGCCCGCACCACCCGCCCAGCCTGGCTCAGGGTCCTGGCTGTGTGCACAGGGGCTGGGAAGGCCAAGGGGGAGCCTTTAGGTGGTCTTTCAAATCCTCCATCATCACTCCTCCCAAGAATGGCCGCTGGGCCTGCCCCCCACCCTCTTCCCAGCACCTGCTCCCTTGCCAAGGTGCAAGAGGCAGGGATCCTCAGGCCCCAGCCCAGCCCCTCCCCTGCAGTGCAGAAAGCCCTTACAGGGCAGCGCCCCCGCCCTCAGCCGCCCTCCGACCGTCCCAGGCTCCGCTGGCAACCCAGACTCCCAAGGCCCGCGAGCCCGGCTGCTCCTTCCTCGCAGGGCACGGAGCTGCAAGCGGCGGTCTTGGGCGCCCTCTCGTGGTGGCGTCCCGTAAACGCACGGGGCGTTGAGGGAGGCCGCGGGCAGGGGTCCGCAGAGGGTCCCCGTGGCGCTGGGATGTTAAAGGTGCAAAGAAGGGTGGCGTGTGTGTCCAGAGGGCTCGGGGTCAGCTGGCACAGGTGACTCTTGAGTGTGTCCAGGGCCGGGGAGGTCGCTCCCTTACAGGAGGGCACAATCGAAACCAGCAAAGAGCTAGAGGAACAGGGCGCCCTCTGGGGACTGGGAAGGGCACTGGGAATGGACACAGGCCCCCAAGCAGCCCCTCCTCACAGACACCCCCGAGTCCCTGGCACACCAGCCACCGACGCTGCACGGCCACAGGGCAGCCCACCCAGTGCTCTGCCCTCGGCACCCAGAACATTCTACCCCCTCGGCTTACTGTCACTTAGAGGGGGCGTGTCTCCAAAGCCTCCAGGAAAAGAGCTGAAACAGCTTCTGGGGCCCATCCAGACCCATGGATCAGGATTTAAGATGCTCCAAGGGGCAATTTCCCTGCGCAGGAAGTTTGAGAACTGCCCCTTCCAGGATAAAGACAGAACACGGAGCAATGACTGGGCTGGGGCAAACTGGGAGCGCAGGCCTGACTCACGGGGGCACTGCTCCCCACCTTGCTCTGAGGCCAGAAGGACTAAATTCCCGAGAAAGAAGTCTAGGGGTGTGTGCGCACGTGCGCCTGAGATCGCCCAGCTGCTGCAGGTGGCATTGATTTTCCCAAAATCGAATAAAAGAGAACACCGGACTTGCCGGCCTGGGTGGTGGAGCCTCGTGGATAATTTGGCAGGGCGGCGGGAAAGGAACGGACAGACTGGGCACTGAGCAAGCCTGCCCGTGCTGGCAAACGCAGGTCATTAGGAGGGGGCACGCCCTGGCGATAGCGGGGTAAGGGGCCCGGAGCGGGGTGGGCCCTGCAGCAGGGCCGTGATTGACGACAGCGATGGTGATGACCGATCCTACCCCTTGCGACCAGGCGCCGCCCGTTTCCCTGGTGCCTGCCCCTCCCCCGCAGGCCGCAGCCGTAGGGCAACCGGTAGCGCGCGCAGAGGCGTCGCTGAGCCGCGGAACCCAGGAAGGACAGCCGGCTTCCAGTCCAGGGCAGACCGTGCTGGCAACGCCCCCTGCGGAGCCAGCGCCTTCCCGACATCACCTGGGGTTGAAATCGCCATCCCCTGACCCCGAAGGCAGCACCTGAGCCCGGAGCCCTGGCTCTGACGTCAGAGGGACCCGGGTGCTGACGGGGAAACTGAGCCCAGGTCACTTTGCAACCGGGGAAAGGGCCGGACTGCTCCTCCCCGCCGACCGGCTGTCTCTTCTCCAGTTAAGGAGGGAGCCCAGGTGGCACCGCGGCGGTGCCGGCCGTTCCGGGAGCCTGGGGTCCTAGGAGGGACAAAGGCGGCAGTTTGCACACCGAAGGGCCTCGCACACGGCAGGTGACACAGCTTCAGGCCCCGCGCGGCACGCACCCCGACGGGAAGTGCGCTGGAGCCTAAAGCGCCGGCTCGACGGAGACCGACCACGAACGCCGCAGCACTGCAAGAGCGCGGCTTCCGAGGCGCAGACTCGAACCCGGGCTCCCGTCGCCGCTCAGCTCCGGGCCAGGCGCAGCGGAAACGCAGACGAGCGCACGCACGCACTGCTTGTGGGCCCTCCAGGCGCGGGGGACACTACCTCCTTGAACCCAAGGGAGCCGCCCCGGAGCTCAGCGGCCCGCCCACCGCGCTGCGCTGACCAATCGCCAGGCGCGACTGAGATATATTTGCATGAGGGCGCGCCATGACCAATGGGCGGCGATCGCAGGCGCTTGCGCGCGGTCAGCGGCGGGCGGCCCGCGGGCTCAGTCAGAGGATGGCCGCGGCGGCGGCGGGTGGAGCCCCGGGCCCGTCCTCCGGCCCCGGCCCCGGCCCCGGCCCGGGGCCCGCCGCCAGGGCCGCGCCGCCGGCGCTGCGGAGGCGCGGGGATTCGCGGCGCCGCCAGGCCGCGCTTTTCTTCCTCAACAACATCTCCCTGGACGGGCGGCCCCCGAGCCTGGGCCCGGTCGGCGAGAATCCCCCGCCCCCGCCGCCGCCGCCCGCAGAGGCCCGCGAGCCGCCCGCGCCGCCGCCGCCACCGCCGGGGCCTGAGCCCGCGCCCCCCGCCCCGCCCGGCCCTCCCGGAACTGTGGGCAGGGCCTCGGCGCCCCAGAGCCTGCTCAGCCCCGCGCCCCCTCCCGCGCCCGCCGGCCTCGGCCTGGACGCGCAGCGCCACAGGTGAGTGGGGAGGGCGGGGGCGCCAGACCCGCTGACCTGGGGCCAGCAGTCCGGGGTGAGGCCTGGGGCCCCCTCTGCACAGGACTTGGGGAGCAGGGTCACCCGGGGCCCTCCCGCCGGTGACGCGGGGTCGCGGAGGCCGGAGGTGACCCTGCTGCTCTGTGCGCCCCAGACACAGGTTTGGCATGTCAGGGCCGGACCACCTGGGGCTCCCCCAGCCTCTCTGGACACGGGCGCTGGGGTTTTCTCGGACCTTGTCCATCCCCAGGCTGATGGTCATGGTCCTCAGCCCGGCCTGCCGGGGTCATGGTGCTCTCAACCTTGCCGGTGCCTGGAACACAGGTTTGCTCAGCGCTGTCACCCTCAGAGCCAGCAGCCGCACTGGGACGCCCCTGCTAGCCCACCTTTATCAGCTCCAGGACCCAGAGACTCCCAGATGACCCTCGGTGTCCCCCGTGCTCTGCTCTGGGCGACCCCTCCCAGTGGACCAGGGCTTCCCTGCCCGGGGACAGCTGGCCTCAGAGTCTTCTGCAGACCGGCCCCCCCCCTGCACCGAGGCTGCCCGCATGGTGGCCCGTCTCCTCCGTGCTGCCCCGTCCCCAGGGTCCCCTCTGAGCTCTGCACCCCGGCCCTGTCACGGCCCAGCTGGCAGTGGCTCCTCAGCCCGTCCCGGAGCAGCGCCCGCCCCAAGCTCAGCCCCTGCAGGCTGTGCCCCTGCCCACCGCCCCCCCGGGGGCCAGACCCACTCCCTTCTGCCAGGAGCAGCGCGGCAGCGTCCAGTGACCCTGCCTCCGCGGCCACTCCCCCTAGACCCTAGGGTGACCCTGGGTAAGCCCGGCCCACCGCCGTCACCCCGAGGAGTGACAGGTTTCCTGGACTTGGGCGCCTGCACAGCTTGCTCAGCAGAGCCCCTCCTGCCAGGCCCCTGTCGGGCGGGGGCAGGCCCTGAGGTGGGTGGGGGCCCTGCTGGCGGCCCACCGCCCCCGGAGTCCGGAGGCGGCCTCCCACTGAGGGTCGTCAGGGCGACCCTCGGGCTCCCTGGGGGGGTTCCAGCTGGGAGGGCCGAGCCCGGAGCCCTCCTGCAGGAGCGGCTGTGCTCTCCTCCTGCTGGAGCCGGGGGCCGGCCACGCGCCATCTCCACGTCCTCGGCGCTGGCACCCATCCGGTGCCCGATGGAGAAGGGCGGCCGCTTCAGTGGGGGGCACCCGTTCTCGGATGGGCTGGCCCCGCGCTCTGGGTGGCAGGGGCCCCGGCTGCGCAGGGTGTACCCTCAGTTATCAGGCGAGGGAAGGTTATCAGACGCCACAGGCGGCCTCTGCTGCGCGGCGACCCCCCACCAGGCTGTGAGAGCGCTGCGTTCCGCAAAGGAGCCCTGGGAGGGGTGCCGGCTCGCCCGGCGCTCCGCTCCGGCAGCGCAGGGGGGCAGGGCAGAACCTGGGGTGCAGAGCTACGTAGCGGGGGTCGTGCCCCAGCTCTGCACCCTGGGCTCCCAGCCTGTAAACGGGGTGGTAACACTGCCCGCCGGGTCGCGTTGTCGTGAGGGCTCAGTGTACCTGCAGACCACCCACAAGGAAGGGAAGGTGGAAGACAGTCACAGACAAAAGTCTGCAGAACGAGCGGGGAGCAGATCGTCCCTGTGGTGCCGCGGAGGCTCCGTCCCTGCAGTAACCGGGGTCCCCCCGAGCAACGCGATGGACCGGCCGGGTGGGCCGGGGCACGCGGGTGCTGCTCGGCTGCAGGGCCGCGCTCCGGGGCCCTGGGGCACCTGCCTGGCGTCTCCGTGGGGACCACTGCTGGCCCGGGCTCGCAGACGAGGTCCCAGGCGTGCACCTGCCAGCGGCTCCACTGGGAAATCGCCTGAGGAAATGAGCTGAGAAAGCCCCTCGGGGCTGCTTGTGGGGCCTGGGAGCACCCCCTGCCCGGGGGCGGGACAGTTGCCGACACTTGCAGGGACAGTGCCCTCTCCGCCAGGCGGCGGCCTTTCCTGGTACGAGTCCAGACAGCCATCGCCAGCTGGGCACCCGTCCAGGGCAGGGCCTGCTCTGTCACCCTCTGCGGCCCCCACCCTGGGCCCCAGGACACGGGTGTCTGCCCAGTGGGCATAGCCCGCTGTCCCCCGACTGGGCAGCGCAGCTGCCCGCAGAGGCCAGGGGTCCTCAGCGCCCCGTCCCTGCTGGGGGCTGCTGCAGCCGGGCCCCACCTGGTTTGTCCTGCCGCCTCCGGGTCTCAGTGCTGAGCCCTGCGGTGTCTTCCTCACAGAAGGCGAGTCGCCTCCCAGCGCTGCTCCCTGGAGTTCCTGGAAGACACGGTGGGAGGCCCCCCAGTTCCAAGGTAAAGGTCCCGCCTGCTGCCGGCTGGGGCTCCGAGGCCCTGGCCCTGCACACTTGCCCTGGGGCCAGAGGGGGCCCAGGAGGGACGAGTGACCTGGGTTTCACCTGCAGAACCAAGCACATGCCCGGGTCCCCCAGACACAAGGGCCTGAAGAAGACTCACTTCATCAAGAACATGCGGCAGTATGACACCAGGAACAGCAGGTACGGCCGCGTGGGCTGCCTGCGGCCCGCCCCCCGTTGCCTGAGCACCAGCCATACCAGCCCCTGCCCTGGGCCTCCCAGGAGCCCCAGGGGTGGCAGGCGGAGCATAGGCGCTGAACGAAGGGGCGGCGGCGTGGTGGGACGGGTACGGGACCACGGGTGGGGTTCGCTTGGGCAGCACAGAGGGGAGGCTGGACTGAAATCCTACCGGCTGCCCCCAGGGCAGCGCCCGCAGGCATGGTCCTGGGGTCCCAGGTCTGCAGACGCCGGGCGAGGGCCACTCTTATTGCCTGTCCCTCACACCCACCCTGGCAGCCCTGAGGCCTCAGGGCACGGCCCCTTGACCCAGAGGGTCCCCACGCTGCACCCCTGCCACTGGAGGCCATGCTGCCAGGCACCTGCCCTTCCCAGCAGTGGCTGTGGGCGGAGCAGGCCGGGGCACGCCTGGCGGGCCGGCCGGCCTCGGTGAGCACTGACAGCCCAGGCACCCCAGAAGCGGGGGAGTCTGGCCGCCACCCTCCCAGCTAGACTCGGGCCTCGCCGGCCCCAGGCGGCAACAGCTGTCCCTCCCGCCGCCTGCTCCTGTACAAGGGCCCCGCGCGGCCGCTTTGCCCTGGGATGCTGATCAGGGGGCTTTCAGATGCCCTTAGGCCCCGCCTCCCCACAGGACTGCAGAGGGGTTCCCTGAACCGAGCGGCCCTGCGGGCATGCGCCGCTGCCCTGCCGCGGGGGCCAGGCGAGCCCTTCCCATGCAGCATGTTAGGTGTCAGGGGCCAGCGAGCGGGGGGCGGCCAGACCCACTGGCGCCTGGGCCCTGGGGAGGGTGCCGTCCCCTGAGTCTGTCTGGGAAGGAACTGCCCCCCGGAAGCACCTGCCGCCCCGTTCTGACCTGCGCCCCATTCCCCCAGGATTGTGCTGATCTGCGCCAAGCGGTCCCTGTGTGCGGCCTTCTCCGTCCTGCCTTATGGAGAGGGCCTGCGGGTCAGGTGAGTGGCGGGGACCCGGGCTGGCTCCGCCGGCCTTCGCCGCAGCTCTGCCCACACCTCCTGGGGCTCCGGGAGGGGCCGTGACGCTCCTTCTTTCCGTCTGAGCTGAACGCCCACGTTGGGGTGCTCCTCTTCACGGGGACACTGCTGTGCGTTCTGTGACCAGGCCAGGCCGCTGTCCCGTGTGACCCGGGAGGAAGCGGACACTTGTCAGGGTGGGGATGTTGCCTGGGACCTGGCGTAAAACCCTCCTGCCCGGTGTGACTGCGGGGTGGAGGGACCCCCTGGAGCACAGGCTTGGGCCGGGCTGCGGCGCCACGGTGCCACCGCCGACGTTTTAAAAGGAAGCCTGGATCCAGGGCAGGAGCGAGACCTGGCAGTTTTTACGACAGGCGTCCTCGCCCACGTCCCCAGGAGCACCGCGGCACCTGCGCTCGCCTCTGGGCGGGCAGCCTGGCCCGGGGTCTGCAGCGCTCCTGACACCTTGTGTTGCAGCGACCTGAGGGCGGACAGCCAGAAGCAGAGGCACCCGTCGGGCGGCGTGTCCGTGTCTTCCGAGATGGTCTTTGAGTTGGAAGGCGTGGAGCTGGGAGCAGATGGAAAGGCAAGAGCCAATGCTGTGCACGCGGTCAGGGCCGACGGGCCGGCGCGGAGCTCACGTGTACAGGGAAAGTGAGCACGTGACCTTGTGCTTCACTTTCATCTCCTCCAACGCAAGGGGCCCCAGGAGCACGCCACCCAGCCCCGCAGCAGCAGCCCCCGCCGCCGGGGTCCGGAGGGCAGGGGCGTCGGAGGCGGGGGAACAGCCGGGCGCAAGGTCGGGATGAGGGCTGGCGGGGGGCCTTCTGGGATGTTCCCGTCACAGAGGAGACAGGCAGCCCAAGGAGCGGCACCCGCCACGGCCTGAGCTGGGTTGCAGGAGCGTGGGGGCAGCGGTGAGGAGGAGCAGGACCGACGCTGACGCGTGCCCCTCCACAGGTCGTGTCCTACGCCAAGTTCCTGTACCCCACCAACGCCCTGGTCACACAAAAGACCGACGGCCACGGCCCCGCGCCCCCGCCCCGGCCCAGCGTGCCCCGCGCTCTGCCTGCGTCGAGATACAAACCTGCCGCTGCCAAGCCAGCGCCCGCCACCACGGAGCTAGGTACCCTCGCCGGGGCACGGGAGCTGGGGCCCCGAGTCACCCTTGAGCCCACAGCCCTCAGTGGAGGGGGGAGCGGGGCCGGGGGCGGGGCCCGGCCTTCCAGGGCAGAGGGGCTCTCGGGAGGGCAGAGGCGCCGGCAGGTGGTGGGGAGCAGCTGGGTCCCTGGGTGGGCCTGGGGGCCGGGAGCCCCTTGTCAGGACGCCCTGTCCGCCCCCGTGCCCGGAGCCGCTACCCAAGCCCAAGCCCAAGCCCAACCCCAGAGCATCGCTTCCACCCCTGGGTGGCGCCCACGCCCCAGCTGCTGCCCGCGTGCTCGACGGGCCCCGCCAAGGCTCAGGGCCCATGGTGGGTCAGGGCTGCCTTCTGCCTGCAGGGGGGGACACGGGGGACACGCTGGAGTACAACCCCAACCTGCTGGACGACCCTCAGTGGCCCTGCGGCAAGCACAAGCGGGTCCTCATCTTCGCGTCCTACATGGTATGGGGGGCGCCAGCCGCACGCCCGCTCTGCTGCACCTCGGGCGCTGGGGGGTGGGCTGCAGGCCAGCTGCTCCCAGCGCCGGGGCCCCGGCAGCCCCTTGGGGAGGGGCACACGGGGCCAGAGAGCAGGGCTGGCCGCAGCACCCGGGGTCAGCCCCTGCCTTCAGCCTGTGTGCGCGCCGCAGCCCGGGTCCCCGCCTGCGGCCTCGGCCCCGCGGCCCCCATCCTGAAGCGTGCCGCCCTCGCCGGCCTGGCGCCCTCCGCAGGCGCGGAGCCCTCACGTTTGCAGGCCGGGCCAGCAGGCCGTCGCCTTGCGGTGGCCCAGCCCTAGCCTCCTGCCCTCTGTGTTGCAGACGACGGTGATCGAGTACGTGAAGCCCTCCGACCTCAAGAAGGACATGAACGAGACGTTCCGGGAGAAGTTCCCGCACGTCAGACTGACGCTGAGCAAAATCAGGAGGTGGGGGCCCCGGGACGTCCCCCGACTCGCTTCTCACATGGCTCACCCTGTGGGGTCCTGCGGGCCTCTCGTCCCACTTCCCGTGGCCTCCTGAGCCTGACAGACCCAGGTGCCTCTCCCGCCCTCTGACTGGGCCAACAGCACGTGGGCGCACGGCCGCTGCCTGTCAGGCCGCCCCTCCCCCGCCCACTGCGGCCCACGCTGGGCCCGCCGCACCGGAGCCCTCGGCCCCACCGTGGGCAAGTGCTGGAGCTGCGGGCCCAGCCGGGCTCCCGGTCACTGCCCTTCGCTGGGGTCCTGCCCCGCCGGCTCCCAGTAACGCCCCAGCAGCGCCAGGACCCCAGGGGAGCCCAGATGTCACCTCAGTGCCCCCTCGGCTCAGTGCCCATGCGCCTGCCCACACAGCCGCCCATGCCGTCCCCTTCCCCCCCGGGAGAGCGGGGCCTCTGTCCTCTGTGCCGGCCCTTGGAGGACACCGGGGGTCCCTGGTGCAGCTGGGGCTGCCGTGGGACCCAGCCAAGGGGCGAGCAGGGCCCAAGACCACCGTGCCGCTTGCCGTGGGGCCCTGGCACGGGGCTGCACCAGCCTGGGAGGAACAGAGCGGCTCCAACGGCCCAGGGGCTTGCCCCGGCCCTAGGGGGCCGCCTGACTCCCCTGTAAACCCGCAGTTTGAAACGCGAGATGCGCAACCTCTCTGAGGAGTGCAACCTGGAGCCCGTGACCGTGTCCATGGCCTACGTGTACTTTGAGAAGCTCGTCCTGCAGGGCAAGCTCAACAAGCAGAACCGCAAGCTGTGCGCGGGCGCTTGCGTGCTCCTGGCCGCCAAGATCAGCAGCGACCTCCGCAAGAACGAAGTGAAGCAGCTCATCGACGTGAGTGTGCCTGCCCCGCCCTCCCGGCCGGCCCCGCCCCCGCTCTCTGTCCGAACTCCCTGAACTCGCGGCTGCCGCAGCCGGCGAGGCAGAGCACTGCCCCTGGGTACAGCGGTCGTCGCCCGCTGGTTACCCCGGCGCGGGGCCTGCCACCCATTCCCAACCCGCTGACCTAGATGGGAACCTGCAGAAGACCCCACTGACCCCCCTCTCTTCTTCAACGCAGAAGTTGGAAGAAAGGTTTCGGTTCAACAGACGGGACCTGATTGGGTTCGAGTTCACAGTGCTCGTGGCCTTGGAGCTCGCGCTCTATCTCCCCGAGAGCCAGGTGTTACCTCATTACAGGCGCCTCACGCAGCAGTTCTAGCGGAGGACGCGGCCCAGGCCGCCCCGGGGCCGTTCCCAGGCAGCGAAGTGCACCGCGCCCCCGCCCCCCCCCCCGCCGCCGCCGCCGGCCTCCGCACGCACTTCCCTGGGGGCCCTCCATGGCGGTTCCGAGAGCAGTCCTGCGCTCGCACATGGGCAGAAAGTGGGGCTCACGAGGGTTTCCGAGCCTGAGGCCGGTCTGGCACCAGGATCCTAGATTCACGGCCTCCATCCCCGTGTCCGCGCTGCCTCACCTTCCACGCAGCGCCGCCCCCCGGGGGTCCAGAAGCTGAACGCACTGAACTCGCCGCGGTTACGTGCTGCGCATTAATCCTATTTGGGGGATTCGGCTGTGAAAGCCGCGCTCTGGCACACCCTGCTCCCCACGTCCCCAAGTAGAGCCCCCGAGTCAGGGGCAGACTCCCGGTCGTCTGACCGGTCTGCACTCTTGGACCCTGTTCTTCCAAGCATCGAGTCACTGTGAAGTCCCCTGCCGCCAACGGGCCTCGGCACACGCCAGCCGTCCTTCGCCTCGAGCCGGGAAAGTGCCGCTGGCCTGCAGCACCGGACCTTCAGATGACTGCATGGCCGGCCCTTAGCTCTTCATCTTACTAAGCAATATTGAGACAGGAAAACAGCCTATTTATTGTCATTTGGGATTCTGTTCTGTAGGTCTTTTTCTTAACGGGACAAAGACCGGGTTGAACGAGGTGCACTGAAGCTGGCTTGATCCTGCTCTTGATCCTCAGGCTGGGAGGAGCCGGACCGCCTCCCAGCACCGCGCCGCAGCGGCACCTCTCCGCCTTCTCCCCAGGCCCGCTCTGCCGGCGTGGCTTTCTGTGCGCCCCGCTGGCGGTGGCGGCCACTCGTGGGCAGGCCTGTGTCACACCAGGGCCCACGCTCAGCTTCACAGGTCTGCGTCATCCCTGCGTGAGCCGCAGCGCCCAGCTCGCCCGCTCACTGCCCCGGCCAAAACACTAGCCACCGAGGACTGGGCAGCCAGCAGGTCTGGACACGGCCGGGCAGCCCGGGGCCACTGAGCTGCAGACCTGCCTCAGGAGGGGCTCTGGGACCGCCCGGACCGGCCAGCTGTGCTGTCACAGCACCCAGCCACCAGCAACTCGGCCTGGACCCCAGCAGAGGCGCCCGCCGCCCACCCATAGGCCTGCTCCTCCCACTCCCGGGGCAGAGAGGCCACCAGGCAGAGGACCGACCACCTGCGCACTCCAGCCAGACTCACTCCCGCTCCACTGTCCTGTATCCGAGCCAAAAGGAAACGGAAGGCGCCCGCTGCTAGGCCCCAGGGAAGCAACCCATCTGGCCGCCATCGCATCTCAAGGACAGCCTGTGTTACAAGCACTGTAAGGGACCGTCATTCTCAAAGTCCTGGTTTACAACTTAGCCTCGAGGGACCCCTCTCTGGTGATCCCTGCACAGGTGTAGAACAGCTGATAAGTACAGTAATTTAAACTTGCCTATTTATGTAGTAAGATTTAGTCGTTTAGTCTCATCTGGAACCTCCCTGTCTGCGTGTCCCTGTTCCTAATGCTGAGCTGCCACTGTGTGGTGCTCAAGTGCCCCTGCCGCAGAGCCCAGATTTCAGCCAGACCTCCGCCTGCTGCCCCGTCCTCTGGGGCAAGCCCAGGCCGCTGGCGCGTGTCCAGGGCTGGGTGCAGACAGCAGCGGCTGTGGATTTTAAATATGTGTTAAGCAACTACCTGACCTCAATACCGCGTCGTATGTCACAGGTGTTTGTATTTGTGCTTTGAAGTAAAACTTGGTTTTGCAGCAGGTTTCACAGCCCGTCTCCTTTCAGCGGCTGCCCCGTCCTTGTGAGCCACTCCCAGCCCAACATCGGCCCTGGCCCTGCAGCCTGCCAGCACAGAACGAACCAACACGGAGGGTTTCACTGTTTATTTATGGAAAATCTCCGGTCTGTGGGGCTCTGCAGTCAGAAGTTCCTAAACAAAAGAGCAACAGTAAAGCCTCCACCCTGGGCCTGGAGCCCCAGCCTCTGTGCCCAAGGGCGCACCCCCTTACTTTGAGACGATGCCATCGCCCTTGGCCAGTCGGAGGATCGAGTCGTCTGACTCGCCCTAGGAAAAAAAGCACAAGGGCCATGTTACCCGCCGCGCCCAGGCGGCAGGCGGCCTGCAGGGGCGCACAGCACGAGCAGGGGGCACTCTCCGGGTTTCATGCCTCACTGGACGGGGAGAGAGCAGGGTTCGGGGAGGGAGGGCGTGGCAACTGGGAAGCTCCCAAGTACAGGCCGGCCGGGGTCTGTTCCCAAGGCGGCCCTGCCCTGGGCCTCTGAGCGCCGTTTCCACCCTCCCAGGAACGGACAGACGGCGCCAACCATCCTTCCCCACGAATGAGAAAAGGCAGGAGACACCACTGCACCCTCAAAGGCCGCGGTGAGCCCCGTCCCCGACACTCACCATCCTGCGAATAGCCCCGCAGATAGCGTAGGTTTTAAACTGGCCGTTGAACCTGCCTGTCACCTTGTCAACCTATCGACGGAGAACGAGGGTCACAGACGCGCACTCGAGCGCCCTGGGATCTGAACCTGGGGTTTGGGAACCATCAACGCCGGCGCCGGCACAGGCCTCGCTCCTGGCCCCAGCGCTTCCTCCCCTCCGCTCAAGCCCTCACGCCGCCCGGCTCACCTCGGCCACGTTCATCTGGATGGACGCGTGGTCCTTGGCGCCGATGATGCGGTTGCTGGCGGAGCTGCGGGGGGAGAGCGCGGTGAGCTGAAGGGGGCGGGGACGAAGGAGGCTGGGAAGAGGGGCAAGGGGAGCGGGCGGCGCTCACCATTTCCGCGGCACGTACAGGTCCACGAACTCTCCGGCGTCGTTCTGCATGTTGAGGGCGCGCCTGCGGGGCCCCGCGTAGCGTGTGAGCACGAGGCGTGTCCGCGCGCCCGGCCCCCGCCCCCAGTCCCCGCGCGGTGGCTTCCCGACCCCGCGCGCCCGGCCCCCGCCCCAACCCTCGCCCGCAGCCCCCGCCCGCAGGCCCCGCGGGCCGGCACCGAACCACGCGGCCCACCTGCTGCCACCGCCACGAGTGCTTCCGTAGAAAGAGAGAACCGCTTCCCCCGGCAGCGCTATTGGCGGGAGGGGCGGGGCCTCAGCGAGTGCTTCCGGGTCCCGGCGCGCCGCGGCGAGTCTGCGCCGAGCCCAACCGGCCGCCCTGGCGCACTTCCGCTTCCGGGCGGGTGGGGGCGGAGCTCGGGGCGTCGGGGGCGAGTTGGGGGCTGCGAGCCGGGTTGGGTTGGCCCAGAGGACGGCTGGGGCTCCGGGCCTGTGTCCGCTCTGCCTGCCGGCTGAAGCCCCAGCCACCGTAGCAATGAGCTGCTCGCGGGCCCGGCTCCCGCCGTGACCCCGCGTCGGCGAGGGTGGTGTTCACGGGCGGCCGGGGCAAGACCGCTCCGCCGGCGGGGCGTGGGGTCCGTGGGAATTCCCGAGTGCAGACCAGAACCGGCACGGACCCCGCGGAAGTAGCCGGCGGGAGGGGCACTGCGGCCGTCGTGAGCAATGAGAGTAGACGGCAGACGGAGCCAGGCCCCGAGCCGGGACGCTGGACGGTAGCAGCAGGGCTGGGCCGGGTCGCCGCCTTGGGACTTAGGGGCTAACCCCTCGGAGACCCGAGGCCCAAGCGGGCGGGAGCTGGGCCCAGCCCGGCGGCGGAGCCCGGTCAAACCCACAGCCGCCCTTGCGCTACTCCGTCTGGCTGCTTCCCGAGCACCTCTTCCACCGCCGCCCCGCTCCGGTCCTTCTGGGCCCCTCCCAGGGCCAGGACCCGGCAATAGATAATAGAAAACTCCTGGAGCCCCTGCCCCACACTCTGCCGCCGCAACGTAGCCTGGGACTTCCTCTCCCCGGTTATACGCAAGGCCCCTGGAGGCTGGGCATGAGGCCGTGCGCGCCCTGCCCGCCCCGCCGCCCCGACAGGGGCTGCCCGAGGCTGAGCGACCCCGCAAACCCCTGCCTCGTTCTCCCTCAGTCCCCTACATCGCTTCCCAGACCCAGGCTCTGGCGGCACGGTTAGGGGCTCTCCCGTGGCTGCCTGTGGGACCGAGTGTGTCGTGACCCTGGTCAGCCTGGCCAGAACCTCATCGCAGCCCTGGGAGGATTGAACGGCATGTGGAAACCAGTGCTGGTGTGTGTGGGCAGAGCGCCTGCTGTCACTCCCGCTGGGGCCGCGTAGCTGGGCCGCAGGAGCCCAGGTCGTCCGGGACGGCCCTCCAGCGCCCGGGTGCGCCCCCGGCATGGGCACAGGATTCTTGTTTGCAGTTGAGCATCTGTGTGTGGGCGAGGTTGGCACGGCCGGGTAATGAGAGGCGCTTCCTGGGGCTGGAAGGCAGGGGATGGGCAGTGAGGGTGAGCCCTCACTCCCGGTGAAGTGGTTCCTGACAACGGTGTCGAGACCAAGGGGAAAAGGACCTAAACGCGAGGCCTTCCTTGGGAGAAAACTAAGGCACACCCTTCATGACACTGGACTTGGCAGTGACTTCTTAGATATGTCACCAAAGGCACAGGCAGCAACAACAAAAAGATATTTAGACTTAATAAAAAAAAATTTAAATTTGTACATCAAAAAACAGTAAAAGGGTGAGCTACATGATGGGATAAAAATGTTAGAAAAATTACACGTCTGATAATGGCTTAATATGCAGAATATATAGAGAACTCCTAACAGAAAACAAAAAGACACCCTGATTCAAAAAGGGGGCAAAGGATTTGAATAGACCTTTTACCAAAAATGATAAATGACCGATGGGCACACATAAAGATGCTGCTCACAGCCCGGTCATCGGGGATGCAAATCAAAGCTACAAGATGCCACCTCACACCTGTTACGACGGGTACTATAAACACAGGAAACCGGTGGCAGCGAGGACGTGGAGAAACCAGAAGCCTGGTGCACTGTTGGTAACAACATAATATGGTGCAGCCGCTGTAGGAAATATAATGGGGTTCCTCAAAGAATTAAGCATAGAATTACCGTACGATTCTTACCCGCCCAAAAGAGCTGAAAGCCCGGACATGGGGA